AAATTTGACTTTAGACATGAATTGAACAAAAATTGGATCAATTTTCAACTTTTTCAGTACAAAAAAGCTTTCTTGTTAAATTTGTCCAAATTTTCTCCATTATAATTAAGTATAATGCACACATAACTTCCTAAAACTTCTTGTAAAATTTGTACCCACTTATGATGCGCACCCCTTTTTTCTTCTGAGATTTGAGAAAAAAGGTGCGCATGGTACTCAAGTAAATATGGTATTTAATTGGTTCTCCTTTTTGTCAAAAATTAGAAATAAGTCCTCAAAAAATGCAATAAAAATTGTTTCCCTCTATTTCAAGTTGTAGAAAACAACAGTGCAGAATAAAACCACCCTCAAAAAATGTTTCCCTCAATTTCAAGTTGTACAAAAAAACAATGCAGAATAAAACCACATAGAATCTGATCTTTCAGTATCAAAAGGAGATCAAAAAGCAAAGAAAAAGAATGAGCTTTGCTAGAATATCCACAGATGATAGAAAAAAGAGGCACAAAATAAGCTTGATATTGCCTATGAATTAGAGTGAATTCATCATTAAATATTTTTGTGATTATAAATATACTAGCTTCATTTCTTCAAAAGATATTAAAATAAAAAATAAATGTTTTGATTTTTTGGGAAAATTCCCTGACTTGAGCCAATGTCCAGATGTCAGGCCAGATTTTTTTTGGTTTTCAAGTGTCCCTATGTCAAACTGTCCTCATGTTGGAGTGTCCGCATACTGGGGTCTCATTGTACACAGCAATTATGTTTTGTCAAATATACACTTGACGCAATGCGTTGAGGAATCAAAGATTGGCAAATAATGCAGCTCTCATATAAAAAAAAATCTAGTTACAACGAAACCAGTAGAAACAGTGAAAACCAATGAACATTGTTTTTTAAGCGATTTTTCATTGAGTAATACACCGATGACTTGTCCCTGGATTTTTGCTGAAGTAACATTAACTAATAAGCAATATTGCTCTAAACAACGTGGTTCTAAGAGGCGATGATTCCTTGCCTCTGGGAAAATGTTTCTTTGATAATTTTCCATTAAAAATTAAGTAAGGAATTTGTTTCAGTTCCCCTGACCACAGTTGAGCTTCGAAAGAAAATGTTAGCATAAAAATAATACCATAAAATACAGTCGTACTCGGTGAATCTTGAAAATTAAACTCGCCTTCATTAAAGCCAATGAATATTCGGAATAACAAGCACAAGTCAACACCAGCTAAAACATCCGTAGTCTAAACTTGTTTTTAACGAAAAAACTTTACTTTATTGCACCTTCTTATGACTTATTCCAGCTGAACCTAATCAATTCGTGCTGCTGGTCAATCCTCAATTTTTTTCCATTTTCTAAATCAGGAAAATTTAAAAAGAAAGTCCGGATTTATCTTCGTTGACTTGACATTGTTTACTCAATGTTAGCTAAAATCTCAAAACAATAAATTTTCAAGCTACTCAGGTCGACTTCTTACTTTAGTATCCTTAGCCATGCCAATCCGTGCTTAACACAAGCGTTTCAATGCAAAATTCAAGTTATTGAGAAAACAAAACTAAATCTCATGTTAGTTGGATAACATTCAGATACTGTAATCTAGTTACTCTAACAAGAGTTTACTGAGATACCATCACACGCCTGTTCTCAAGTTTCGAATTGCGAAGTTGCGAATTTTCAATAAAAATATGCGAAAAAATGTTCTTCAAATCCCAACCCAACATAATCTGCATTCATGCATCCACTTTTTCCTCGCAGAATTTCTCAAAAGGATGAGCTTGGTACAAAAGGTACATTATGGTAACCCGCATAGGGAACCTTATCTAATCTGGGATCGAATTTTTTTGTGCGGGAAATTATTTTCTTCGACGTAATTTTGAAATTATTTTTCATGAATGAAATGCATTCAAATATACCCGCATAAGTTTGAAATGCATGGCATTAATCTGTAATAATTAAATGGTTGGTTGTCACGTAGAGATCAAATAAAGTCAAAGCTTTCCAAGTCAGACTCCAACGGACTCGCAAAAAAAATTTGACATGGGGAGCTTTTGAGTTGAAGAAACCACCATTTCTGCTGGAAAAAATTGAGAATTCCAGAAAAATAAATTTGCTGATCTTCTAGAATAACTTGAACTGCTCAATAGATGAGATGACAGCATGCTGGACTTGGGTGCAAGGGCACATTTGCTTCATTTTTCTCTCACTTCCTTTCGGAAAATCATGGAGTTAACTTTTTAGTGCTATTCTTCCATGGTTGCCAGAATAATGGCTCAAAGGCATCTCAAAATTTGAGTTATAAATGCTTGATGAGGGGGGAAGTCTTTGAATTAGGGAGGTCTATAAATTATATTTTTCTTGAAGAAATCCACACAGGGACTATGCACAAATTTGACAAAGAACAGTTTTTGACTTTGGGAAGTTTGACTTAGCACGGTCCAACTGCACATAAAGTTGAACCTTTTCAAGTAAAATTTCAAGGGACAACCAAAAAAATGTGACTTACGGAGGTTTTTCACTTAAGGATGTTTAGAATAATTTAGGTTTGAGTAACAGAACCAAGCATTTTTGTCATAGAAAACATATAAGAATTGCACAAAATTGCAAATGGTGATATTCTGGGCATTAAATGCACATGAAATGAGTTAACAGGATACTGAACTTGGAGGCAGGGACTAAATTTGCCCAATTTAGACTTTCCTTTCCTTTCAGAACACGTAGAATCATGCTTTTATTGCTTCTTTCTTTCCTGTGTCAAGAAAAAAAATAGCCAAAGGCCTCCAAAAAACTCAATTAGGGAAGAAAAAGCTTCAAATTAGGGAGGTTTCTAATACATTGTTCCCAGGGGAATTCAACAGGTACTTTGAAAAATTCGACTTAAGGAGGTTTGACTCATCAAGGTTCAACTTTTATTTATTTTTTTAAACACTGCTAGTCAAGGCCTGAGAGACACCGGTTCAATGGTAACCTTTTGCGCATCTCCAGAAATTATTAGTTCCAAGATTTTTCTCCTTACTCCGGCCAAGAGACCATGATGCCTCTCGTCACTATACTTCATCATCAACAGCAAAAAAGGGAAGTTTTTTTATATCTTTTCGTCGAGCCTATGTTTGGACTTCGCGTCGTAACTAAGAAGGCGGCGGTAGCGGCTATAAACGCGCCGTTGGTGGTGCTCGATTTGGGGAAACCGAGCTTCGGTACCCAGTGGGTATCTCAAATCACCGCCATGACCGGGAAAGCGAAAATCAGAAACACTTCACACCAACAAAACAAAAACAAAAAAACCAATTACAATTTTGTAACAAAATAAAAACGGGGTGTCGTCTGAAACGTAAGCGCAAACGGAAAACTATAACTCTCGCTACGAGCTACCATCTAACTCAAACAGAAAACCAAGACTAAGAAGGAAAGAGACGGAAGACCTGCATGTTGCACAGCATATCATGTATTTGTAATCCCATGGAGAAACGCACACCGAGAAATACCGAAAGAAGGCGAACATTTTTCCAGACTGTATTTCTCTTTTTTTGTCTTTCTTTTTTTTTTACACGCCAGAAAAAGTAGAGTGAAAGAAAGAGGATTCCCAACACCAACCCACCGCAGACGTGCTAATACGCGAAGAGAGGAATGAAAAAACAAAACTTTCGCATGCAGAACGAAAAAAAAAAATTTTTACGATAGAACCAACAAGCGACAGAATCTACACACGTCCCCAAGAACATGTTGGATTCCTGGTCTAAAAAGAAGAGTTGTAATTTTTGCTTGCTTCGCCGATCCTTTGTTTTTTTTTCACTGGATTTTTTTTTTTTCAAGTCTGATGTTGCAATGCAGACACAAGTGGTCTCAAATTGGCAGATACAGCTTCAGTAGACGAAGTGGTACCGAGTGCGGCAACCAGAACCGCTGACTACCAAAGAGCAGCCGAACCTATTAGAACCAAGGTCATCGAGCTAGCAGCATGCTATAGATTTTTGTATTGTTGCTCAAATGTTTCATTCCTCATAAAAACATTTCGATGCACGCTAGAACAACTTTCATGAAAGCTGTTGTGAAGTACCGAACAGTCGCAGAACATTCAAGCCGATTCTAGCTTTGCTACAGAGTCAGACAAGTTCTCAAAAAAGTTCATCGTACAGTAAAAAAGTTTTTGAATTCCGAATCAAAGATCAACAACTACGAAAAAGAAAATTACATCGCCGTCTTTAATACGCCCATTTTTTTCAATATCTTGAAATTTGAAGACAAATACATGGCAAAAAAGTAAAGTTCTCCTCTCTCGTAAAAGTTGCATTATTCCGACGAGACTCTTAGAACTAAAACAGCTCATCAACTCTTCCAACAAAACTTTTAGCCATGCCACCGGCATTTTTAGAAATTTAGATTGATAGACCCGATCATGAATACCTCGAACAAGGGAATTTTCGGAAAAAGGATTTCAACTGGATTTAATTTTGCTTCAAATAGTGGACATCGGAATAATTGATGAGCAATTGATTTCAAGTGTTATAATCGAAGTTGCTGCGGAATGTGGCTGTTGGCGTCATTTTTCAGACGGACAAACACTTTTTGGATAGTCTCGATTGCGATGGACAGAGTTTTTCTTCTTCCAGAGTATTTTTTAATATTCAATCACATTACTAATTAAAAATGTATTCGTCTTGTGCTTCTTCAAAATGTTTCAGGAAAATTTCCATTAGGGGGATCTTGACTCTAAAACGATGATGTCTAAAGGTCCAGAAATAATTTAATCTTCATAAAACTCATCAGTACTCGTTCATTAGACTCTTTGAAAAATGGTCTTCTCATTAGAACAGATCAAGTTCCTCAACCGATGCAACACTTGACACGGGAATTTTAAAATGCCCTCCTGCTACGTTAATCAAAGGCATAAATCTTCATTCGANTCATTAGACTCTTTGAAAAATGGTCTTCTCATTAGAACAGATCAAGTTCCTCAACCGATGCAACACTTGACACGGGAATTTTAAAATGCCCTCCTGCTACGTTAATCAAAGGCATAAATCTTCATTCGAAAATTCTTCACCTCGAGACCGTCTTCATCATCGCTATCTTCATCAGAAGAACTCTCTTCCGCGTCACGCAGCCAGGTGATGAAAGGCTCCGCCTTGCTGTGGATGGCTTCACTCATCTCCCTACTCACGTACTTTTTCGAGATTCTTTTGCCCCAGTCCAATAAAACTTCCTCTTCCAGAATGTCCATGTCGTAGAAAGCTTTCAGGATGTGGCTAACCTTTGGCAACAGCGCGTCTTTATTGATCGAGATTACTTGCTCAATGCCACCAAGCAAGTACTTCTGAGCCTTTGGATTTTCGTGGCAAAAGCGAAGAAACAGCAGTCGGTGGAGTTTCACCTGCAATATAACACCAAATAAATATAAACCTCAAGAAACCATTCGGAGTTTAGTATTGGTTAGAAAACTAGCGAGATCTGGTTGACTAGAGATGTTTCGGAAATCCTAATACAACCAGGAAATTCAAATATTCCAAAAATCTTCTACTTGTTAAAATTTCCCGGATCTTGGAACAATATTCCGATGACAATTTTCTCATCTTGACAAACCTCGGATCAACTGCGGGAGGGTTTCGTGCATTTGAGAGAGTCCAAAAATATTAACGAAAATTCCCCACAGCTTAAAACTGCATTTCAATTAGAACTGTTCTCATACTGACATATTTGGGGGCCAAGAGCGCAGAAGTTTCACCAAAATGCTCCCTTTTCCGAGCAAGAATTTGCAGAAATCAAGGACAAATTTAACGAAATAGACTCAAATCATGTTACTCATTTCGAAAACAGAAATTTCTGCTTCGAGGTACAGTATTGGAAAAAACTTCTTCCGTTCATTAAACAAGCCAATTTGATCTCCTGCATTTCCAAAATTTTACCTGTTGTAAAATGGACGAATCGAACAACAATTCTGCAAGGATCAACGGTCCTTTATCTCTCACGTCCAGACGTTCAGCTTCGTTCAAGACGTCCTTATCAGCTCCAGCGATGGTTAGTTTCCCGGATTCCTTCTTCGATTTAACGTAATCGTAGAGGATATCAATGCGTTCCTGAGCAGCACACGGAGAAGTCGGAAGTTACTTCAAATATCGACATTTTGCTGTATTTGTCGTAAATACTAACTTTCTCGGTTTTCTCAATGTCGTCGGTAACAGCCAAGTTCTTCACACCATTGCTGAGATCTTCCATGCGACGCTTCACGGCTTCTGGGCTCACGTCCACTGACCAATCTTCATCATCATCTTCGTTTGATTCCTGCTATTCAAACGTGAGAAATACAATTGCATTAAACGTTTAATCTTGCTTACGGTAAATGAAGTATTTTTCATCTTGAAAATAGATTGTGGAATATAGTAAGTTAGATACCGACGATCTCGGGCAAACCAACGAACAAATACGATGCTGGATTTCAGAGCGCGAATTCGATCATCAGCTTCTTTGGCTTAGTTTATCACGGAAAACTTTGACAATTACAAAAAGATCAAATTAATCCGAGGGGGTTTCTTCATAAATCTCTTCTTCACAAATTTTTTTAAATGATCTGTCCGACGGATTTTGCTTCCACGGATGCTGACAGAATAAATCGCCAATTTTAAAAAACCAGAAAGATCCCAGTACAAGCAAGGGTCCAAAAACAGTCTAATCAAACCAGCAACAGCGATGCTTCGGAATGACAGATGATTTTCCATTGATGACTTAGAATGTAGATCACTTGGAATTTGAATTAACGAATTCGGAGTAGACAGAAGGGGAAAAATCAAATTGCAGAATACCTCTACTTGGGGTCAAGAGAGCTGAACATTTCGTCGAGAATGATAATCTACCTGACACACTGAAAAAGAAAACTGAACACGTAATTTAAGAGAGAAAATCAGATAAATTTTACATTATTTTAAATGATACACGGAAATCTGACATTCCTTGCTGTCAGCAAGCTCAGACGAACCTCATTTGGAGGACTATCGTTCATCATGTCCTCATTATTATCAGCAGCTTCAGTTCCGCCTCCATTTTTGCTCTTCTTACAATCTTCTGTAAAAGGTCAACGGCACATGAGAAAAAAAAAATTTCCCAAAGCGAGCTTCATACAAATTACAAACCAGGCGGATTTTTGAAGATGAATGCAGTGAGTTTCAGGGTCAGGTCAACGTGACTCAAGTTACCGCAGGCCTTGCAAGTTTTCGTAATCGTGCCTTTCTTCTGGGAAACTCGAAGGACTGTTTCAGGATTGTCGCATGCGCGGCAGAGGACGTATTCTTTGATGAATCCGTCGAGCAGAGTTTGGAGCCTATTCGCCTCATGAGCCCCATTGACGATGTACCGATCGTTCTTCAGGTCGACTTTTGTCAGGGCTCCCAGTTCACATCCAAAATACTTGGTCGTATCTGTATGTGGAAGCGAGGAAGGATTTTATTTTCAATTTAAAATCCTGAATATAGCAAATAACAGAAGTTATAAATCCCGAGACGAGGGAAAAACGCAAAATAATTCTCCGGAGGATGCAACAGAAGCTGAGACACGATCACGTTTTTTTAAGATTTTGTGTCATTTTTCAAAAGTGAGGGAAATATTGAATGAAGGAACTTACATGCAAACATACTTCCCAGGTTAACCAAACGGCAAAACGAGTTCAGTTCCTCATAAATTTTGGAACGAATCAGCTAAAATACTTTTTCCAAAATTATTAGAAGTTGAAGGCAGAACGGCGCCAGAATTGCTTTTTAGTATCAAAATTTTTATAATTAATAAAAAATCTTTGAAACTATCCAGAAGGTCTTCAGTGTCAAAGAGCATCACCATAAACGACAGTAACTGTAAAATTTCACGCGCTTCTCTGATATTATCGTTGATTCTGCCAAATTTCTCTTTTTTCATAAATGCATTCCTAAGATTTTGCCTTTGGCTGATTCAACGTTGGTTATGATAAATTACTGGAGTTCATCTTCGAAGTTCAACACCCTCGATGTTTTATTCCTAAGAGAAGTTCCGCGTACCACCTGGCAAGTGTCTTACGTACCATCAAGAATATTACAAGTTAGAAAGCCCTGTTCTCAAAAATTTCGAGATATTACAGGAAATAAAGTTTGTTCGTGTTCATATCTTCTTACAAAATCTGCAGCTCCGTCACTGGTTTTCAACCCACACAAACATTCCCCCAAGATGTTTGACTACTCACAAGTTGGAGGGCGACCAAGAGATCGTGCGACTTCAACCATGTTGATGATGACAGTTCTGATGCCATTTCCTTTACCTTCCACCTTAGCCATGATCCTCGGCATCTTGTAGCGGTAAAAGGCATCGGTGACATTGCGATTGACGTTCAACGTAGCCATTGTGTTTAGATTTTTTCACGGCTCGCAAGAAGCAGAACAGAAAATTGTGGTTTTCAAGAGCACCAAAAAAAATAAACTAAATTTAAAAAAGGGGGGAGGATCTTCGGTGGCTCCGGAAGATTCAATGACGACTGCGTGGTTTAATGTTGAAGAATCCAGAGGACTGAGAAGATTTTCATGGGCTGAATTTTCGAACCATGAAATCCAGTGGTGCTACACGTGGGCTAGTCACGAGCGAAATGGCTGCAGCTTCCAAAGCTCATCTAAACTTGAGGACTCGTCTGCCCTGTAACGGAAAATACAGTTGAACCTCGATAACTCATATACAGTACTTTCCTGTCTGAATGTCCTTGGAAACAATGCATTATAAATGTGCCAAACTCGGAAGGCTTTACCCCTCAAAGCTCCTTAAATCAAATTGTCTCGGAGGCCTTTTGGCTATCATTTCATTGGCACAGGAAAGATAAAGGGAACAAAACCATAACGATGTTTTCTCAAATGAAGTGAAAAGCAATTTGGACAAATGAACCCTTGCTTCCAAGTTCAGCGTCCTTTCCACTCCTTTCAGAAGCTATGTAAGGCCCAAAATATCACGAATTAAAATTTCCCGTAATATATTTTTTCCTCCAACAAAAATGCATTTTTTTCCTCAACTCGAAACCTCCCAAACTCGAATTTTTTGATGATCCCTTCAAGTTAAACTTGGGAAAAAATGAGAAAGCTTCATTTTTCTACAACCAACTTACCTATGGCAGGATGACTCAGTTTCCAAAGCGGGCTCGACATGTGCGACGTACATATACTCAGAAGATTTCGAGCCAGAGGGCCCTTCGCAAGCACTCGAATCGGTGATACTCGAAGGGAGAACCCTTTCCGACCTTTCGTCTGTAAAATAAATGAAGTTTTCGTCTTATAATTTCTTGATTTCCCATAGAAAAACTTGAGACACTCACCAGATATTGTGTCCAACGTCATATACGACACTGGGAAACTCAGAATGACAGACCCACTCAAAACACGACTGATTTGGAAAAAGGAAATTACCGATACCTGCAAGCATGAAAACAATGTGACAATCAGACGTCAATAAAAAAAATTTTCAGATCGGACACACAATTTTGAAGGCGCAAATGCAACTCAGCTGAAAAATACGTGGATTGCAGGAAATTATTTCATTTAATTTTTATTATACAAAAGCGAGGCCTCGTATTGATTTTTCTTGTCGAAAATAACCGAAGTCATGAAGTTTTGATGAATAGACTCAGCCGTTTCTCAGATTCAAAACTGGTTATCAAAATATTCGTTGGCAAGCATGCGTCATCAAAATTGAATTTTTCACCATGCGGTATCAGTTGTGCTAATTCAGTCCAGGGTTTACTTGAACGTGATAAATGGACAAAAATGCGAAGGATTTTTCAGAATCCGTCTTAAAAAAGCTAGCATTAAATGTAATTAGTTTCCGTGATACATGTTGGAATTTAACAATCAGCATCACCTGAAATGATAATCCGATTACTCAATTTTTGGCGGAGTAATTCAAGAGCAACTACGATCAACCTCGAAACAACTATCGGCATACCACGTACTCCCACTGTAAAAATCACAAGCCAATCGATTGAAAAATGTAAGACATTTTTCCGGGTCAAACCACAAAAAAAAATTATACAGAATACAAAATAGGAAAGCAAAATGGTTCTTGCGGAATTTCTTTGGTGGGTAGAAAAAAGTCTTGATATTCGAACAGAGCGATTTCATCTTGGCAGAGCGCCACGTCCAAAAATTGAACACATCCTTGACATTTCATCCAACGGCTTCCAGGCAGGATTCTTGAGGAAAAATTCTGAAGAACGCAAAACTGTTTCCGATTTCCGGAAATATTCAAAAATGCAATACACGATTTCACAGACACGCACGACACGAACAATAAATGGGATGTAATTAGTCAATGAAACACCGAGGACGATTCGAAGGAAGCTCGCGAGATTTCGTATATCCTACCCTACTTCACATTTTTAAAAAATGGCACGGAATTCTCGTAGAAGAATTATTCCAGCTTTCGGAAAATAGCGGATTTCCCGCCTGAATCACGTCAAGAAAGAGACAGAAAGCCATCGGATTTAGCTGGGCTCAGCTAAATTTTCATACTTCTGGTTTTCGCTTGAACTTTTCCTTCCACAGTCGATGAAAAGAAAAACTCGACAGTCAACCGAACAGGGACGGTTTCAAAATGACTAAGATATTTGGCATGATTTGGTATTTTTTCTTCGATAAAACAGTGCGGCTCTTGCACGGAAGAACCCTTAAGAGACGTACGTTTGAACTTTCAATTTACGGAAGAATACAGTACTTTTCAATTGCGGAACTACTTAATAAAAGCTCAATGGGTCAAAGTCGCATTTTCAAAAAAATATCTGACTATGATCTGACGTTCGAATCTAGCCTTTTCCGATAATTTGACAATGATGTAGTTGAGATTTGACCACAAGAAAAGTAAAAAAAAAAAAAGTCTGATTTAAAGCGTTGAACGAATTAAATCACGATTCCATCAAAAATGTACATCTTCTACCGTACTCGGGATTCGTTTAAAATTAAAAATAGAATTCCAAACCCAATTCTTAAAGAACTGCACCTTCCGCTCAAGACCTTGAATCGAAACTGGAATCCCTCGTGTGATCTTCAAAAATCTTGACGGTACCTTTGAATAAACCTTTTCATTGGGTCTGCTAACACTGAAAATTTTCAAAAAGGTCCTCACTTCACATTCGAAACCCATGAGGGGAAATTAGATGCAGTATTTAAAAATTATTTTTAAAGAGATGCACCTCTTCCCGAGACCATGAATCAAGATTCTAACTCCGATATTCTTCCAGATCTGGAGGAGGACTTCAGATCAACAAACATTACTGATGCGTTTTCCAAGAAAAAGACCAGAGAAATAAGCTCAATTCAATACAGTGGTAACCCGAATAATGGACGCCTGGAATAGTGGATTTTTCGCAAAATAAACTTATACTCCCGCCGATTTTTGCCTCGGATAGTGGGCCTTCCTTCGGAAAGACTACGAAAAGTGATCGCTCATGTTGAAAATCGTAGTTCCTTCGGGAAATATAAAATTACTTCCAGCCAGTGAAGGAAGTTTCATTTTTTTCCTTCGGCTTGGGTCACTTACAGTATAATTTTACTTCGTGCCGAATTTTCGGTCACATTATTTCAAATTTAATATCGGATATCCATTTATTTATAAATTTATTCAAGAATGTATGAGGGACATTTTCGAGGAATCCGAAACATTTCATCTCTTCATATAGATCACACATTACTCAAATGAGGTACTTTCTCGGGAACTGGAAGCAAGCAGTAATTCAACACAATTTTACTCGGATAATGGACTTATGGAAAAAAGACTATCCACTGCAACGGAACAAGGTCATTAGCCGAGAAACCACTGTACACGGAAATCCCGCCAACACTTGATCATTCGTTTCGACTCCTAAAAGTGTAAAAAAGAAAAAGGGGGAAACAGGAAATACTGTCGTTGGATTCGTCTTGCATCAATCCTCTTTCTTTTTCCCTTCAGTCAAGCACTCTCGTAGGCCTTGTACGGCGAATAAGGAGCAGCTTGAAGCGCCAAATCTCTCAACGTGCAGTACATGAGGATGGAGGTGACCAAGCCAAAAAGTTGGCAAAAGGCCAACAGCAGACCCCCAATGCCGACGAAATGCAAACGTTCCAGGACCCAGTCCCGCACACGAACGTAGCACCCGCGGGAATAAATCTCTTCCGGAAGTGGGTCCACTGTGCGACACGAACCCGTGTATAAAACTTGTCGGCGGCAACAAGAAGCTGGAATTTGGTCAACATCCGAAAACGAAGCCGCCAGGAACCAGTCCTCGTAGGATCTCACGCCACAGCATTCGAACTGGAGGAAGAACAGTGGTAAAATAAGCTTTGGATTACCGTATCCGATTGCACGTTAACAATTATTCGTTAAAAAAAACTTTTCATTACAGCGTGGCCCTTCGATGCGCACTTGATTTCGCGCTTGGAACTCGTTCCTTTGTCGGATCACGTTTTCCCATGTACTACGAAGTACTTCCATGGGAACTTATTCAATTGGTTCTTCATTTCGTCAAAAATTTAGATAAATCCTACAAAATTGAATAAAAAATATTCTCAACGAAGATGCGGAAAATCAGTGTGCGGAAGAAAACCAGACAGAATCTAATCTTTTGGCATGAAAGGAGCTCATGAACCTAAAAAAAAAAAAAAGAACACGTCATGCTATACTGTGCACCGATACAGTAATGGAAGAAACTCTGAAAAGAAGAATAACGAAATTAACCTGTTTTTGGTTATGGATTTGAGTAAAAAAAAAATTAATTTTTTTAAAACATAAATAGCTCAATTTTTTCAGAAGACATTTGAATTTTGAAAACTATAATTTTCAATTTTTCTAAAAATGGAAAGTGTCCGAATCTTGAGACATTTTTCAGCCTTCGGGCCAGATTTGTTAAAAATTGTGTCCTCTAGTCGAATCGCACATATGCTGTGGTGTCCGTAAGTCGGGGTCCTGCTGTATTTTATCATTCGTTAGAAGAACAGCGAAAAGTTGACTTCATTCCAGAATTGTTGAGTCTTTTCCGATCTTTTCAGGGACGGATTTCGATGGACGTACTTTTAATTTTCACTTTTATTATTTACAGACCCACTATCGATGTCAATTCAGAGTTTCTGAGTTGATTTAGTCTTAATCAACAGCCCTATTATTCAACCAAAATACGCCGAACTGCTTTCTGAATTTTACGCACGACAAGTAAAAATTCAACGACAAACATTTTTCAGTACAATAATGGTAACCGCGAAGAAGAGATCATAATAACGTCCTTCATTTTACTTCCTCAATACGATGTTGTCTGAATACAACATCGTTGGATAAATGCAGAGGTCAATCAAATTCGTACTGAGCAGTAAATCAACTGAAATACTGAAAGACCTCTACCTCGGTTTGGATATCGTCCCAGATATCCACAAGGGCCTCAAAATCCGCAGTCCTGTTGTAATGCAGTTGGATTCCTTTCATCAACTCCACTTGGAATGAGTTCCCGATTTCAGCATGGTACACGAAAAGGGCTGTGACCGTGCTCAGCTCCACTATCGTAATCAGGATGACGAGGATGAAATACTAAACGGAAGATAGAATTCAGTCCACAACCAATCCGTCATACGTCACAAAACATCATCAATTGCTCACTTTCAACAGAAAATACAATTACAGGTAGACTCTCTACAACGATTTTCTCCGCATAGCGAATAAATATTTGTTTTTCCCCATGGGGGGGGGGGGGGGGCTCAACGCATGC